TTTTTTTTTTTTTTTTTTTTTTTGGTACTGGGACTGAACTCAGTGCTTGCCAGGCAGGCATGGTGTCACTGAGCTAAATCCTTGGCCCCCATTTGTTGATTTTTTTTTTGTACCAAGGATCGAACTCAGGCCGTTGCGCTTGCAAGGCAGACGGCGGAACCACTGAGATAAATCCCAGTCCCTATTGATTATTGATATTTCATTTCTTGTGCAATTTGGGTTCTTTTTAGAAAACATATAGCTATGTCTTCAAGAATTTTACTTATTTCATCTCCCAGCAGATTGTTTTTGTTTTAATATTAACTCTGTATATCTTTTCTCATTTCATCTTCATACTAGCCATTTTATTTTGGTACGGCGGATCGAACTCAGGACCTTGCACTTGCAAGGCAGGTGGCAGAACCACTGAGCTAAATCCCTGGCCCTTCACAGTAGCCTTGTAATTGCATTTTGGTGAGAGATATGGGTCTAGATTCAGTCTTCTTCATAGGTATAGCCAATTTTCCCAGCACCATTTCCTACAGTCTATCTTTCCTCTAGAGTATGTTTTTTGTTTTTGAGCCTGTAGTTCAGGCTGGTTTTGAATTCACTACATAGTCCAGGCTGGCCTTGAACTCCCTGCCTCAGCCTTGGATTATAGGCGTGGGGTACTATGCCTGGCCTCTAGCTGTTTTTTATCTCTTTGTCAAAGATCACATAGTTGAATGTGCCTGGAATTGTTTCTGCATCCTCTGTTCTGTTTCATCGATTTACAAAATTGTTTTTGTGCCAGTAAATATTCTCACTACACTTAACTGACAGCCTCATAGGAAGGAAGGCGTATGTGGAATAATAACTGGCTCTCCTGCCTTAGTCCTTTGGGATGGAGCAAGGGAAGAGTAAGTTCAGGGTGTTGATTCTTTCAGCTCCCTCCCTCAGATGTTGTTGTAGGCTGCAGCCCGGGCAGCAATACTAGAAACCTGCTCTGTGCCCTCTGCTTGCTGTTTCAAGGTTCTGTGACTGCTTCTGCCTCTAGACCTAGGAGGTCTGGGAGTGGTAACTGGCTTCCTCTCTGTTATTCTTGGCCTTGAAGTTTCTTACTGTTGCTCTTAGTTTCTCTATACTCAGCCCAAACATTGGGCTTCCTTATTAAGTGCTCAACTTGCCCAAGTGAAATGTCTTGTTTCCTGGCAGAATGCTGATTGACTGGGAGTCTGACTTATTCATTGTATCAATGTGAGCCCACCTTGCAGTGAGGGTCACATTCATCCTGATCCTGAGGATGGGTGATCATGTCATGGCCAGACCATGCTGGGGTTTAAGGATGGAGGAAACTACCAGCTGGTTCCTTCCCAGAATGACTGAAAATCCAAAGCCCCCCTTTTTCCCCCTCAGAGGTTACCACTGTCAGATTAGCAACTGGAGGAGGCAGTGCTGTCCAGCTGCCCAGGAATGGGAGTGAATGGCTTCAAGACCCTTATATGTCTTCGTTAGGCAGTCATCTACCAAGTAGCTATCTTAGTAAGTACCTATCACATGTTAGACATGCTGGTCATGGGGTGAGAGGGAGGGTTACAGTGGTGAGTTAGCCAAAGCAAAAGGCTACCCTACTGTCTGGTGGGCAAGGCAGGCATTAAACGGCTATAAGTAAGTAAATTACAAGAGTGGATACAAGGAGAGTCCCAGAGCAATACTGGCTACTATGTGGAGACTGCCCATCCTGGTCTGAGGGTCAGGGAAGATATCCTTACAGAGGTGAAGTTTAAATTGAGCTGAGAGATGAATTAGATTAGACAAGAGAAGACAGGGTTTGGAGGGCTTTCCCACAAAGAAACAGCCTCCAGGAAGGCTCTAAGTAAGTGATCTGGGACCAGAGAGTAAAGAGGCCACATGACAAGGCCTGGCAATAATGCTACAAATGCAGACGTATTCACAGGGCAAAGGAAGCCATTGAAAGGGTTTTAGCAGAGAGAGGTACAATTTAACTTTGAGTTCCACTTGGATTGCTATGACAAGCAGGATCTTGAGGAGGGATAGAGTGCCGACCAGGGAAACCACTTAGAGGGTTGCAGTAATTGTACAGGTGCAAGATTGCTGTGGCCTGGGCTGGAGATGGTAGAAAGTGCGTGGATTCCGAATGGAACTATCAGGGGAATTAATAGAACTTAGTTATGGTGACTTTTCCTCTCCTTCAATTGCTAATACCCATTTTCACCATTAGCTGCATCATCATCACTGCAGCCATTTATGGAGTGCTTAGCAAAATGTGCTAGGGACCATGCATATCTTTTTCCATTTCGCTTCTTAGCAACACTGTATTTGTTTGAATTTTGGTGTTTTTCCTCCCATTTATTAGATAAGCACAGAGAGTACTGTACTGCCTTTGAGAAGTAGGGGTTGTTGACCTTTGTTTTTGGGCCTTCCCAGTTTGCTTCCCAGCCACTGTGGCCATTGTGAAAAAATCTGGAGCTGGTGGAGAACATCCTGAGAAGGCTGGAAGAGTGGGAAGATGCCAGCCTACACTACCACTTCCTGGTAGAGTAGGCAGAATGCCACATTCTTGTTTTCTAAACAACTTCCTTGCAACCTGTGATGCAACAATTTTCACTTTATTCTTGGTTCACATAGTATGTTGTTTTTAATTTTGGTGGGAATAATTCATTGTTCTTTTTCTTCCTAATACCTAAATGAAAACATTGTATCTGAAGGCATAAGAATATTTTTGTTCCTAATCTGTACTGTGTACATAAATATCTTCACCAGGAAGGAGGAGAGACAAGGTACTCCTGAATTTAAAATACCCTCTGGCCAGGCGTGGTGGTGCACGCCTGTAATCCCAGAAATCAGGAGGCTAAGGCAGGAGGGTCGCTGTGATTTTGAGACCAGCCTAGGCTACATAGTGAGGTTGAGGTCAGTCTCAATTACATAGTGAAACCCTGTCTTAAAAAAAAAAAATCTGTTACTTTTCTCTCCTTGCTGAGACAAAATACCCAACACCCCAAATTAAAGGGAAAAGGTTTTATTTAGCTCAGTTTGTAGAGGCTTCAGTCCATAGTCAGCTGGCTTCAAGGCATAGTGGTAAATAGTAGAGGTGCATCACAGAGAAGAGTAGCAAAAGCAGCAAGGGAACCTTAACAGCATCTTTCTTTTCCTTTTATCTTATCCAGACTACTGGGATTAGGGTGGTACCAATCCAATCAGTGTACTGGTTTAGTAATTACATGCCCTTAATCCCAGCATCATGCAGTCTAGATCCAGCCCCCTCTGAAAAAGCCACCTATGATTATATGAGGCCTGGGAGCGGATCTAGACCCAAAGCATAACACCAGCTTTACCAGCTCTGTATACTGTGCTGACATTCTGTTTTGCTTTTCTGCAGGGAACATCTATCTGAGGGTGATCAAAGGCAGCCAGATCTAAATTGTGCCCTGATTTTTGAGTCTTTCATTGTTCTAGCTTTTTTGTCAGTTTGTGTGTGTGCGCGTATAGCTCTGGAAATGAAATCTAGGGTCTCTCACATGCCAACAAGAGTTCTTTCACTGAGCTGCACCCCCAGTTTAAACATTCTTCATTTATTTATGGGACCTAGAACACTGATTAGGTTAGCAAGGGTAGATCACAACAGAGCCTGCATTGTTTGGCCCTGGAACCTGACTCCTTTCTTTTTTTCCTAGATTCTTAGCTGTCCAGATTCTTTTCCTGCTCTGTTTTGTAAGTGACACAGCAAACATGTTTGTCTTGTGGGCTGATAATACAAGCAATATATGCTTATCAACCAAAGAGTATAGAAAGACTGCTGATGTAAACCTTGCCTCTCCAAATTGCCAAAGCTCCTTACCCATCCATCCAGCCCCTTCTCTATACTGCAGTCAGGAGTGCTTGACTCACCAGGTTCACTTTGCTGCCCAAGCCCTCAACTGCATCCCTGTCAGCTTGGTACATCCTCAAATTGTTCCTACATCCCAAAACCAAAATAGCAACCTCCCTTGGCTTCTTGTTTGCCTATAGCAACTACCTTATTCAACTTGTCTCCTTCACAGCAAGACTTTTGGAAAGAATTGTGTATGTTTATCTGTGTAGTTATATTTCTTGGTATTCTCTATTCCTTTATGTAGTTCATGTTTCCATTTGAAATGATTTTTCTTCTGCCTGAAGGAGTTAACCTTTAAAATTTTTGTCAGTCTGGGGACATAGTTCAGTTGTAGAGTGCCCAACATGCACAAGGTCCTGGGTTCAGCCCCCAGCACAGGAGGAGGAGGGAGAGGGGGAAGTGGGGGAAGGATTTTTCACATATGGGTCTACTGGTGGTGAATTCTGATGTCTTCAGTATTTATTTCATTGTGTCTGTGTGTGTGTGTGTGTGTGTGTGTGTGTGTGTGTGTGTGTTACTGCAGATTGAATCCAAGACCGTCACACTGAGCTATATCCCCAGCCCTTTTTTATTTGTTGAGACAGGGTCTCACTTATTTACCATGTTGCCCATAGTGACCTCAAAAATGTGAACTTTCTGCCCAGAGTAGTGGTATTACAGGTATGTACTATCACATCCAGTTTCATCTTTGTTTTTAGAAGCTATATTTGCCGGATATAAAATTCTGGATTTATGTTTTTCTCTTTTCTTTAATTACCTTAAAAAGATGCTGTCCTTGTCTGTATTGTTTCCAAGGAGAAAATTGATATCCCTATCTTTGTTTCTCTGTATATAATAAATGTATCTTTTTTTCTGGCTGTCTTTAAGATTTTGTTACTGGTTTGAGCAATTTACTATATGCTATGGTGTGATTAAGCTTCTTGGATCTATGGACTTAAGAGTTTTCATCCACCTTAGGAAACTTTTGGCTATTTCTTTCTTTCTTTTTTTTTTTTGAGACAGGATCTCACTATGTAGTTGAGACTGACCTGGAACTCACTGTTATAGGCTACTATTTTTATAAATATTTTTCATTCACATACTGGCGACATGCTGTTGGCATGCAGAGCTTGTCACACAGATGGTGATTCTCTCCACACATGGCAAGCTTTCCTGAGGGCAGCTAGCCTCATTCATTGCCCCTGGTCAGTGCCTGGCAGAGTCTGGCAGCTGGTGTTGAGTTGATGAGGGTTGAAGGGTAGGAGTCACACTACAGAGGTTGATGACTATTGCTAACCTGGCATACAAGACTGCCCAGAACTTTTGTCTTATGTGAGCCTTTGCCCAGGACCAAACTTATAGCCCCAAAGCAGGGAAAAAACCCTCCTGTCTTTCCTCCTGCTGCTATGGCTTTAGTGCTGGGCCAATTTCTTCTTAGCACTCCCAGAGCAGCAGCCCAAGGTGGTAGGCAGGAGAACAGAGTCCAGCTGTCAGAGGCCACCTCAGGAAGGAGTTACTTTATGGCTCTGCCATTGTTTCTCAGGCACAGTGGCCCAGCATCCCCCAAGGAATCACCGTGGGAGAAGTGAGGCTCATTTTGGAGTATCAGCCAGAGCTGGTCTTCTCAGACCTGGGTCTGCTGCTTACTAACTGTGTGTTATCAGACAGTAAACTGAACTTCTCTGTGCCTCTGCTTGGTCGTTGATAACCCTTGTCTCTATCTCACAGACCTGTTATAATGTATACAGAGATGATCTGCTTCAGTAGAATTTGCATAAAACCATTCTTGTTTTTCTGGCTGTTCTCATCAAACCAATGAAAATATTGAAGTGTTTATATATTTTACTTTCCCAATTGGATCTTGGTACTGGAATGGTTTTAGTTATAACCTGCATCTCAAGGAGTGGGTTTTGGGCAAAGCTATGTATTTGTCCATTTATTTATTTGGCCATTAATTTCTGTATGCCTTTGTGACCTTCTTGACCTGGAGAATGGGTGGCTTTCTGACAATTTAATGGGAAGGATAACTTCTCCATCGGAGATAATTTCTGTTTTTGATAGTCCTGAGGATTGAACCCAAGGCCTTTGCATTCAATTACATCTGTAGTTTTTTTTTTTGGTATGGGAGATCGAACTCCGGACCTTGCGCTTTCCAGGCAGGCAGGCAGCAGAACCACTGAGCTAAATCCCTGGCCCATCTCTAGTTCTTTTTACTTTTTTTTTTTTAATTTTGAGACAGGGTCTGGCTAAGTCTCTTAAATTGCCCAGGCTGAGCTTCAACTTGCAATCTTCCTGCCTCAGCCTCCTAGAGCTCTGGGATTACAGATGTGGGCCATCATGCCCTGCTGGAAAATATCATCCTTGAGAACTGTCAATCTTTGAGGTTCATATATTTTCAAGTCACACATGAGTGATTATGTTGTAATGTTTCAGTTGCAGAAGAAAGTGGTCACTTAGGGTTGGAGGAGCAGCCTGCCCCTATCCAAGAGGAGACTGTGTTCCTGAAGGAGGGGGCGCCTCCGCAAGAACTGAACAGCCGCCAGAAGAGGGTAGCAGAAGAGGCTGATGCTGTGCTGGGGCTGGACACCCCCAGGGACCCCATGGTGGTGCTGTCTGTGATTCCTGGAGAAGCTGAGGACAAACGGAGCTCAGAGCCAAGCAGCGACACGTGTGCTGCCAGAGGAGAAGACACGAGGTGCACAGTCCGGGCGAGCCTCTTTTCTCCAGACAGCGCTGGGCCGACCTTCCCCGAAAGAGAAGAGGAGTACTACCCCGAGCCGGAAGTGGCCGAGTCTGACCCAGTCCGCGCCGAGGACTCCAACAACACGGAGAGTCTGAAATCCCCAAAGGTGAATTGTGAGGAGAGGAACGTGACGGGATTGGAAAACTTCACTCTGAAAATTTTAAATATGTCCCAGGTAAATAAAAAATTATCCAGTACTTTTCTCCTTTTTAGCATATTAATCTTATGATTTTATACTCTCAATTTTCAAATAGATCATCGTTTTATTATATTCTAAGTGGTAATACCATTGAATTGCTGCTTGAATGAAAATTGACTTTGCTCTTGGTGATGTTTGTAGGAAAAGAAAGAAATATAAATGGTGTCATTTAAACTTTTTAGGTGGCCAGAAGCTACTCATACTTGGGCTAATCTCACCACTAAGCCTCCTGGTAAAAATCCCAGTGGGCAGGACAGAGAGGAAAACAAAACAATTCTTTTTCCTCTTCCTCCTCTTCCTTTTCTTCTTCATCTTCTTCCTCTTCTTCCTTTTCTTAATGTTCCTCTTCCTCTTCCTTCTCCTTGTCCGTCTTCACTAGGGATTGAACCCAGGGCCTTAACACTAAGTTACAGCCCCAGCCCTTTAAGTTTTTGAGACAAGGTCTTGCTGAGTTGCCAAACTGCCCAGGCTGAGCTTAAACTGGTGATCCTTCTACCTAAGCTTCTATGCCTGGCTTCTTCTTTCAAAGGAAGTACTAATTACAAAGGCAACATAAAAATAATCTGAATTGATTCAGGCATGGTGGCGTATGCCTGTAATCCTAGTACTCTGGAAGGCTGAATTAGGAGGATCAAAAGTTTGAGCCCAGCCCGGGCAATTTAGCATTTTAGTGAGACTCTGCGTCAAAATAAAAAAATTAGAAGCCAGGGGTGGTGGTGCATGCCTGTAATCCTCAGGAAGCTGAGGCAGAAATATTGCTGTGAATTGAAGTACCAGCTTGGGCTCACAGTAAGTTCAAACCTACCCTGGATTACAGATGCTATTTACAAAAAAAAAAAAAA